AAGCACACGATGCATTGCGGCGGCGGTGCGACGCCAGAGCAGTGTTGCTTGCTACGTCGTCTTACATAGAAATATCTGTGGCATGTCACACGATGCACTGCGGCGTCGCACCGGACTTGCAATCACCGAGACGAGACTGGGAGGAGTGAATATGTGTTGCGACGTCGGAGCGGCATCGCTCCGTTGTTCTCAATACAACGCCACTAGGGTTGATGTCGATACAACGCTTCTAGGGCGCCAGCGACACAGCTGCGGTATTACATTGCGGCGCTTATGTACCCGCAGATACGGCGAAATCTTTGCGGTGCGGCTACTAATAGTTCCATTAAGTAATAAATAGTAGAGTAAGCTTGTGTTAGGCTTTGGAGTAGGTTCACCACAATAGTCAGGCGGACTACTATCCTCGAATTGGCAGTCTGACATAGACTTGTCATTCCTACTTTATGGCTTCTTCATTGTACACTATTGTGAGCTATTGTAAATTGTGATGCTGCTGTATTTACTGGAAAATACACTTAACAAAATCTTCTGCCATGACCCTGTTCTGTACCTCTAGCATGGACAACTTTCGTCTTCGAATCGTTTACGTATTCGACAAAATTCGATACTCAACCTTCGAATTAAACGACAGTATGACAATTCTGATTCTCAAAATAGGTTTCGTGCAACCATTTCTCATACTAAGTTCACTTTACGACAAGTTTACAAGGACGCTGTTGTCATTTTCGCACTAAATCTTTTGATGGCGATTCGAATACGCAAACGATTCGAACTCGAAAGTTTTTTCGTGCTAGCCGTACTGTACCGATCTACCCTCACTTGTCTATTGTAAATACGAGTATTTTGTGTACCTTTTCTATTCACAACTATAGGAACTTTACTATGAACTATGCTCCAAGCCCACTACATCCGATAAGGGCTGCAACTGTAAGTAATAAAGATAACGAGTGTATTTGTTTATGTGACCTATTTAGAGTGGCGTCAGAAGCGGGTTATCGCGTCACTAATTAGAAATTTCTATTGATCTGGAAATTGTGTTCCAACGTGAGGTGATAATGTATCAGATTTTGTGGGAACTTTTGTAGAGTGTAGACAGTTAATTGGCTGATTTGTAGGAGGCAGTTATTAGTTTCATTTTGGATTAGGTACTGCTCAGTTCAACTATTCATACTTGTGTCAGAGGATAATTACTAGTCAATGATTTTTCTCCCAAGAGACTTTGTCAATTCATAAGTCCCCTTATGCACACAAAACTTTAGATGGTGACCAAAAAGCCACGCAAAGCCGTTGGGACATCAAGGTAAACACTGTATCTTATGCAGTTGTAACAAGAGCGAAATTGCAACAAAATGTATGATGAGCTGTGTCGGCTGTAATAAAGAATGTTTTGGCTACCAATGAATATTTTTGAAAGGTTGCTGTTGCGGATAGTCCATGACAACAGTTATTTTTAAATTGTGTTTTTTACTAACTGTACACATCAGGTTGTTGCAAAATAGCACCTATAACAACGGCATAAGTGAAAACCAACATAGGGCACGCTGAAAACCAGCGCCGTGGCCTTCGTCACCGTGGGCCACGGCATATTATTATGCTCAGTGGGGTCCCGTTGCAGTGGGCATCTTGTTGGTGAATGGGTGGCGGCACTGCTCAGTTTACTCTTGTTTTTATTCTTCCATTATTATGTGCCACTGTCATGTCTATGTAATCTATCGTTTTAGCGCTCACCAGTTAGCGCCACTGTAGAGTAAGGTCCTGTCACTTGCTAGTAGCGAAGACAGTGGCACCAACTGGTGAGCGCTAAAGTGGTAGGAGGACTATCGCATTTGCACTCATCAAGATGGCGCCACTGTAGAATAAGGTCCTGTCAATCGCCAGGGGTGCCAACTGTTAAGTATAGAAACGATAGCCCTCATTGCTTGTATTTGTGTGATGTCCATTGTAATAAATGTATCTTTCTTTCATAAGTCGCCAGTGTTTAGCTTATCATGCTGTAGTATGTACTATCCAGCCATCTAATCAATCCAATTGTTTATTACAGAGCGGTGGAACTCCACGAGCGTGAGAAGGCGTCGTCCGTGATCGCCACCATGATCGCCGTGGGGCTCACGGCTGGCGCCGCCGTCGGCATGCTGCTAGTACATCTACTGTAAACCTCCGTGGATTGGAACTGCCAGGTATGGCCCGCGGGCAGGGTCACCTTGTATGTGAACTCGCTCAAAGATGTGATTATTTTGTTGCGGGTTCAATGAAAAAACCTTGACTTTGGTTGGGTATTTACTGGTGATCAAGTTGGCTAAAGCCCGGTCCGTAAGCACGTAGAATTTTGTCCAATGACCCCCAGCTACCCATCCTTATCGCTCGCGGGTAATTATATTGCTGTCGCGACTGTGCGACAGGCACCCGCAGTGAGTGTGCGAGCGCGATAGCAACATAATTACGCGCGAGCGATAAGGATGGGTAGCTAGGGGTCATTGGACAAAATTTTACGTGCTCACAGACCAGACCATACACAGGAGTTGCAGTGGTGGGAAGAGGCGGGAATAACTTAACAGCCCGCGCTATCGAGTGTAGCCTGATCAGTCAGTAGGCAAGGTCACCTTGCCCGGAACTTGTGTCGCAAACGGCGTCGGCTACACACAACGCCTCTACTCTTTAATTGAATTTTTATTTTCGGATTTGTGACATTTAGCAGACTCATTTTTGCGCCTACCTTCATTGGTGAAAACTTAAAATGACGAATATTATCTATTTTACTTGTGATTGAATGTTTTAAGGTCACAGTTATAGTTTAAAAAAAGTGGATTGTGTGATTTTGTTGGGAATTCTATCGAATTTTTGCGACCATGTTACTTATTTGGGATTAAAATGCAAAGTTATTTGTAAGTAGGACCTTAATTATTAACTAAATCCTAACAGATACTCTATACATTCCAACAGTAATCACTTCACTGCCTTGTCCATTTATTAGTGTAATTTTTTTTTTACTTTTAATTGGAGACTGTACAGTACTTATTGCTATTCTGCCTTATTAGTACATTATGTTACAATGTTCTAAGCTAGTTTTAATATATCGAGGCCGGCATTGAACTTTGAACCTTAAGTATGCCGTAATAAACGTGAAATTATAATAACGAATGAACAAACTTTCATATCACGTTACATACTTCATGAGCAAGTGTGTTGAAAGAATTTAACTGAAGATTATAGGAGCAAAATTATGCTGAAATATAATATTGTTATAAAATGTATATTATGTAGTGTGAACCAAATATGAACAAATGATTTGAGTGTGCTTATTTAAAATTAGGCATTTTATAAAGATTATTTGTAGTAATTTAAGTAGCTTACAACGATGCGTAATTTATTTAAATTATTTACCCAAGAATTATACCTAAGTATCAATTATATCTGTGATTGTAATTAATACTTCGTTCAGTGCTTTTAGGCCCGCCATACACGGACAGCTCGACCAGTTAGTCAGTGATCAACATACACGGACCACTCTTGTAGTCAAGAGTCAACAGCTTGAAGCTGCCAGCGATAACTGTTCGAGCAGTTGGTATTAACTGCTCTACAAATCACAAGCGCGTGCGCCGTGGAATGAAGAAAGTGGGCGGAGGTAACTGCGCGAGAGCTGTCGACAGCTCGAGCAGTCAGTGTATGGCTGGCGACTGCTTGACCGCACGATGAAAATTCACCGTGCCGTCGACCGCCCGAATCAGTTGCAACCGCTCGAGCGGTTCGTGTATGTGCGTCCATAAAACTCTGTAGTTTACTGTGCAGTCGCAGCTTGAAGCTGTCGACCCTGACTGCTTCAAGCGGTCCGTGTATTGCCGGCCTTAAATTATCCTCGAGCACGTGTAAAGCACTCTTATCACAGATCTCAACTATTATTAGTCATAGGAATAGTGCAATTTATGTAAATAATGGAATTATGTAAAAATGTAGATAGAAATGTGAGGTGCATAAAGTAGCTGAAGAAATTTTAGCCTAGGCGCAGACCATCGATTGTTCGTCGGCCGATAGTTTAGTCGGGCAGTTGATCAGTATGGGCATGTATAGAAGCACATTACACCGATTTAATTAGGCAGATTCTTCATACAATTTAAAACCGGGCACAACTATCGGCCAACTAAAAATCGGTGGTCTGCGCCTAGTGTAACACTAGTGAAATTAACTATCATGTTGACAATGCAGTGCGCGAGTCAGGGTGTTTGTTACTATAGTTTGCTTTGTAATGCAATGCGTATGAAATAGGTCGGAGCATGGTCAAATCACTCAATGTATTTCATACAAATGAAATTATCACGTAGTATCTAAGCTGTATGACTAATATTTTTAAATTATTTTTGTACCTGATTTTACTATTAATCTCTCAGGTAACTGTTACGTACAATTTTCATAAATAATGTAATATTTCGTTGAAATTATTTTATTATATTATTGTGATTTTATTCAAATATGTAAAGTAATTAAGCTATATCCTTATATGAAAATGTTTGTATGCTAAAAATATATTATGTATATTAATGAAATTACTCACAAATGAATAAAATATCAATGCATTACTGAAAATAGGTTAATAACATGTGATATCAATTTGTTATATCGTTAAAATGCATTTCGTAGTATTTTGTGACTAAGACAATTTTATGCACACTTAGTTCTGTTAAGACAATGATGATCTAAGTGATAATAGACCTACTATTAAGTTTAAAACAGCAAAATTAAATTTTTGACCCTTCAGTGGTGATTATTATTTATAGAGTTACATTATTATAAGTTTTAATCGCATTATTGAAATTTTGGTTGTTTTTCGGTTGTGCGTATTTTAAAATGAAAACTGTTTGAAAATTACCCTGTTTAAGCAAGTGTGAACAAAAACAATCAGATTTATCAGAAACCATTTAATAAAAAAAAACTATACAAAACATCATAAATTCTAAACCTATTAACAACTACCACATAATTTAAAATGGACCATAATTCGTTCATAGATTATAATAATTAAGAGCAATAGAAATTACCATGATCCCTGATTATTACGCCTATTAATGAAATGTGGTAATGATAAATAATCACTTAAAATTATGTATTTTCGCAAAAACAACAATTTAATTACAATTATTTATCCTCACCACATAGCCATTGCATTAAAATTAAGTTTATCGACTAATTTGAATATAAGACATAAAGGCAAGCCAATAAGGCAAGACGGTTAGCAACATGAGCAAAACTATATAAGGTATTATTTGTCTTTCACATAGCCACCATTTTGGTTTTGATTACACCGAGCCATTTTGTTTTGAGCGTGTCATTTTGTTAGATCAAAATCTGACAGCCGGTTGTTGTGATTTATTTTAGTGGTTGTGTTATCTTTCGCTTGAAGACTGAATATGAGAGAGCAGTATATTTTTCATCATTACAAGAGTGTTACAAACCAAGAAAGAAAAAGAATTATAAAAATCTTGTCTTCATCACAATTTTTTAATGTTTCATTTGTATGAACTGTTCGTCGCCATTTTAATGCTTGATTTTTTCATACACCTTTTACAATCTGACCGACTCGATTTGTAATAAAATAAAACAATTTGTTACTAATTTTCCATTTTCTAGAAAATATACAAAGAATCGTACAGCTTTCGAAATATTGAAATGGCCCAGGCGTAATTCAGATCTACCAACTTATAAAATAAATGGTTTTAGTGTTAATTATCATCATAATCTGTGACAAATTTGTATTTTGACATGACATGTATTATCTTTTGCCTAAATACTGTCATTACATTACGAATTATGATATTTTGATAATTTTATATACAAATAGGAATGTTAGGAAACTATTTTGAAATATTTGAAAACGTTGAATTATCACAAGACGCTTACAACTATTAAAAATTACGTTTATATTTTGTTCATGTTCTAAACAGTCCACTATTATTAATTTTCAGTTGGACTTTTTACATTAAGTCGAGTTTAAATCAAGGCACATTTAATAAATAGTATATCCGTACCTTATTATAAAAATTAAGGGTTCTCTGACAATATAAATTCCCTAATCATGTAAGTACCACGTGTTCATATGTGGTCACAATGCTGCATTTTCTGAAACACAATTTTCTTACTGAAATCATAAGACTATTTAGTTTATGTTATCCTTCTCACTCAGTACTTATGTAGACAAGGATAGCATATGTTTGAAATATCAAACGGGGCATACATTTTTAGGAATGTGTTTCAGAATACGCACCATTGTCGATGTCATGTGTTTGAATAGAAGTGTGAAAACCTTCGTGCCAATACAAACTATCATAAGGTTTATTCGAACAATTAACACCAACTATCACAATAATGTATACAAAGGTAACGCAATTATCTAAACGCCGATTCGAACTTTTTCCTTCAAGTACAGCAGTGAGACAACCGTTGTATCCGACATTGTGAGTCGTCACAGGCATAAATTAGTTGGCATTTGCACAAGGCATACATTGCCTTTTCATTCGTATTCGTAAATTAACGACTGTACTACAAAAGGAATAAGTTGCAATCGACCTCTTAAACATAGAACCTGTCTTGTTTAATTTAGTCTTTAATGTTTTAATTAAAAGTCTGTATGGTTTAAGCCTTTCTAAAGTTACGTCACTTATTACATTTTTAGAGTCACGTCGAATTTGAGTCAAAAAAGATAGATTTAGATGGTCCACAATTACCTTAACATTTTAAGAATTATAGCGAATAAAATATTTACAAAATCATCTGTCTGAATTAAATGGTACTTATTTGAATAAAAATATAATATAAATTAGCTCAGCCAGTTAATTGACACAACATTGTATTGATTAGTTGTAGATAGATTGTTGTAGTTTAGATTTGTGACTTGACTCTATAATTGCTTGCATTAATTTAAGGCGCAGAATCGAGTCAGGTTTGATGTAATCGAATACATCCAGTTCCTGAGACATTATCAACTCTGAAACAAAGATATAGACGACAAAACTCGATTCTCCGCCCTAAAAGACACTCGCCTTAACAATTCTTGTGACGTAACTCGCCGGCTACCTAACGATAAGCGAACCTACCGAGTAGCTTTGAGCTTCCAACGAAGGAAGAGGAAGGCAGACACACGGAGCACCACGAATATCAGGCACAGCGCTGCGATGTCCAGCGTGAAGTCTGCGTCCTGCATGTCTAGTTCTTCCAGGGTTATCTCCGGGTTCTTGAAGTGACAGTACGTCTGGAAGAGATGTGAGAATGAGTTAGGTACTAAGGTTTTGATACATTGTATGTGGGTAGAAACATGAATAATGATGCGGGTAACGGTAAAAGTGGAACGTTTTGGTGAGCATACTATTGCGGATAAGCAAATCACCCACGCGCCACCTTACGGGCGACAGTACATGAAACGAACTCTGGCATTATCAAAAGCGTTTGATTATGTAGACCACCAAACTACTTAAAAAATTACAACATTATGGTGTTTCCAATAATTTTGATCTGTTGATTTCACAGGCAGAAAACAAAAAGTTAGTATAAAACTGTCTTTTGACACACCTCTAGCTATGGGTGTGCCATAGGGATCAATATTAGGACCTTTGCTATTCCTTATTTATATTAATGACCTTCCTTACTTTGTAAAAGATCTATGTGATATTGTGTTATTTGCTGACGACAAATCTCTAATTTTCATTGTTAAAACGACATAAAAAAACCGTTTCATAAGCGCTGAATCGCGCTGACCGCTCGTTGATAGTCGGCGCTGACAGATCATTATGCATGTAAAAGAAGGAAACGTCCCAAAGTGACGCTGATCGCTCGGCACCCACGCTTTACATTTCGGTTGTCAGCGCCGACGGTCAGCGTGCGTCAGCCCAGCCTAAGTTATCGTGGCGTTCATGCTAGCCTCATCATCATCATCAACAGCCCTTTACAGTCCACTGCTGGACTATGAGCCTCCTCCACTATAGTGGAGGGTTTTGCCATAATCCCCACGCTTGGCAGGCGGGTTGGAGATCGCAGTTTATAAGATTGATGTTTTTCAGAGAGCGCTGCTGCCCGTACTCTGTTTGATGTGTAGTCCCTAAGTCGCCTCTTACGACACCCGCGGGAAGAATTGGTAATAAATGTATTATACAGGGTGGAATTTTGTAATGCCACCTGGAGGGAAAGTACTCTTAATATTGTAGATAGATATTTTTTCTCAAAGAAAACATTCCTTTATTTTTGAATAGAAATAGAATTGCATTCAAAGATTTTCTAAAATTTGCTTGCTACACTCGGGAATCGAACCAACTAAAATCTGTTAAAAATTACACCCTGTATTTTTATTGCATCGATCATTAGGGTTAAGTATAAGGACGAAATCTCCCTAACAATCCTGATAAATCAAATGAAAGGAAAACCATGAAATCTTAAATTATTGTAATTATTTACAGAAAATTGTATGGTATGGTGGTAAATTTTCGAAAATCTTTGAATACAGTTCTCTTTCTTTTCAAAAATAAAGGAATGTTTTCTTTCAGTAAAATTTTCTATCTAAAGTATTAAGAGTACTTTCCCTCCAGGTGGCATTACAAAATTCCACCCTGTATATGCTAGCCCAATCAATCGTATCTGGGGGCACGGCAGTGCCCCCGCCAAGTCGAGCGCGAAGCAAACACTGCCGTACCATCCTTTACTGGAACCATTTCGCCGCATTTTCAGGCCTCTATTTGAGAACCTTTAGATAAGACCAGAACGCAGANAATTGATTGGTGGTGTCAACATGTCTATTTTGTCCAATGACCCCAAGCTACCCATCCTTATCGCTCGCGCGTAATTTTGTTGCTATCGCGCTCTCACACTCACTGCGGGCGCCCGTCGCACAGTCGCGACAGCAATATAATTACGCGCGAGCGATAAGGATGGGTAGCTTGGGGTCATTGGACAAAATAGACATGTTGACACCACCAATCAATTGACGAACTTTTAAAAACTGTCAAAACGCAAATGACGTCACTATTTTGTCAATTCAAATAAATTACTTTTTTCAATTACAATGCGACCAAAAATTGTAATTTACGGGTAATTTAAAATTAATTAAGTTTTTCAGACCAGAATGAAGTGTCCTTTTAGAAAAGTTGTGATTTCGAATTATTGGAGAATTGTGTCAAACTGTCCATTGTACGTGCTCGCAGACCAGACCATAGATTACCTGATGGCACTGCAGCTTGGGCCGGTCAAAGGAGTAGGTGGCGAGCGCGGTGCCCTCGAAGCCGTAGCGAATGTACGACAGGTAAGTGATCCAGCGCAGGTATTTAGGGATCGCGTTGAACGACACGAAGAACCCGCTGAACAGCAGGAACGGCACCGACATCACCGGAGCCAGGAACACGCCGTTCTGGAATCGAATTTGTACATATTAATAAAAACATTAACTAGACAAACTAGATGGCTTAGGTAAAATTACAAACGTAACTTAGAAGCTATTTATGGAGTAAAAAATTGACAAATTATTATCAATAAAATTGAGTAATGAGGGCTATCGTTTTTATACTTAACAGTTGGCACCCCTGGCGATTGACAGGACCTTAATCTACAGTGGCGCCATCTTGATGAGTGCAAATGCGATAGTCCTCCTACCACTTTAGCGCTCACCAGTTGGTGCCACTGTCTTCGCTACTAGCAAGTGACAGGACCTTACTCTACAGTGGCGCTAACTGGTGAGAGCTAAAACGATAGCCCTCATTGAGACGTAGCGTTTTGAAGATAATTATGCAAAGGTGGTATTAACGCGGTTAACGCCATCTATCGGTGCACCTACGAAAACATGCGAACGCCATGTATCGACGCATCTACGAAAGCATGCTAACGCCATCTATCGAGGCGCCTACACATAACACTTAAAGTTAGATGCGAGCAAGGAGCCTGGAGGCGAACGCATTTTAATTATCCGCATTTTACCTTCTCTATGATAAAAGTTTTGGTAGATTACCCAATTTTCGAGATACCCTTTAGAATCCATGCAACTCTCGATATCTAAGGCCGGCAATACACGGACCGCTTGAAGCAGTCAGGGTCGACAGCTTCAAGCTGCGACTTCAGAGTTCTATGGACGCACATACACGAACCGCTCGAGCGGTTGCACCTGATTCGGGCGGTCGACAGCACGGTGAATTTCCATCGTGTGTGCCATCAAGCAGTCGCCAGCCATACACTGACTGCTCGAGCTGTCGACAGCTCTCGCGCAGTTACCTCCGCCCACTTTCTTCATTCCACGGCGCGCGCGCTTGTGATTTGTTGAGCAGTTATCGCTGGCAGCTTCAAGCTGTTGACTCTTGACTGCAAGAGTGGTCCGTGTATGTTGATCACTGACTAACTGCTCGAGCTGTCCGTGTATGGCGGGTCTAAGGGGGAGTCCATTAATTACGTGAGACAATTTTGGCTATTTTTTAACCCCCCCACCCCCTAATCTCACGTGAGATTTTCCAAAATGCCTATTTGCAATGTAAATGAGAAAATCCATGCTTAGAAAATATTAGATTTTATAAAAAAAAAACCCGACCTAAAAAAAAAAATAACTTTTAGTACAATTTTTAACTGTTCGTTTACATTTTGTTAATATTTAAGCATTGGTAGCAAACTGCGGATCTAAAAACTGGGCCTGTGTTCACAAATGCAGACGGAGGATTTACTCTGTTGTAGAAAAAAATTACGTGATATTTCTTGACCCCCCCTCTCCCCCATGTCAGATTAAGTGAGGTTTTTCTGGACCCCCTCCCCCCCTATAAGTCTCACGTAATTAATGGACGCCCCCTAAAAGCTGTCAAAGTATGTACCTGCACGTTCATAGCAGCGCCGACCACCAGCCCGACGCTCTGCGCCACGAAGGAGATGAGCAGGCACGACGACAGGAACATGGCGAAGCGGAACCACACGGCCGGCTGTGACGTCAGCAGGTACACGATCACCACGTAGATCACGCAGAAAATCGCCTGCGGACACGAGCAAATTGTTTATTAGTAGGACCATTTTGGACGGCCCGACGGATTAGCAAGCTGAAGTGGCAATGGGCAGGGCACATAGTACGCAGAACTGACGGCCGATGGGGCAGCAAGGTTCTGGAAAGGAGATCGCGTACCGGAAAACGCAGCGTGGGACGTCCACCTACAAGGTGGACCGACGACATCGTAAAGGTAGCAGGGAAGCGCTGGACGCAGGCCGCTACCAATCGATCAACATGGAAAGCATTGGGGGAGGCCTATGTTCAGCAGTGGACGTCATATGGCTGAAATGATGATGATGATGATCAGGCCCTTTTTGGAACCTCTTTATGGTCAAGAACTTCTTTATGGTCATGGTCAAACGTTTACTAGTAAGAGTTCGACCATGACCATAAAGACACACAAAGAGGCGCAGAGGGCGCTACTAGCACAAACAGTAAACAAAACAATTAAACTGAACGACAACTGTCAAAACCTGTTTGCGTAAGGTTCGGTTTCCAGCAAAGCCGAGCGGAGTGAAGAAATGTTTTGATTGACCAATTAGATTTCTACCATGTACCTTAATTTTGAGTTTCCGATATTCCATTTTGAGTTACCAGTTACTCCGTGACCATGGCGCTTCATATCTAATAATAATATTATGATAGTGACTATGAAAGTTTAAGACAATATACAATTAGATTATTATATATTCAGATTGAATGAAATTGACAGAATGAAACATGTCTCCGCTCCGCTCCGCTTTGGTGGAAACCGGGCCTAATGCAACACTACATCAGTATAAGAAGATTACAATTAAAAAGTAGGCTTGGTTTTAAATTTCCGTATTCTACAGTTTGAAAAATAAGAATTTGATGTTAAGGTCCCCTAAATTAGAGACGTGAGGAAGCGCTGCAGTGGCGCCACTGTGGCGCTACAATTTCTAGGAGCGCAGTAAAAAACTCATTAAANCCTGATGGCACTGCAGCTTGGGCCGGTCGAAGGAGTAGGTGGCGAGCGCGGTGCCTTCGAAGCCGTAGCGATGTATGACAGGTACGTGATCCAGCGCAGGTATTTAGGGATCGCGTTGAACGACACGAAGAACCCGCTGAACAGCAGGAACGGCACCGACATCACTGGCGCCAGGAACACGCCGTTCTGGAATCGAATTTGTACATATTAATAAAAACATTAATTAGACAGACCAGATGACTTAGGTAAAATTACAAACGTAACTTAGAAGCTATTTATGTTGTAAAAAATTGACGAATCTACACTAATATTATAAAGAGGAAAACTTTGTTTGTTTGGTTGTAATGAATAGGCTCAAAAACTACTAGACCGTTTTTAAAAATTCTTTCACCATTCGAAAGCTACATTATCCACGAGTAACATAGGCTAAATTTTATTTTGGAAAAAAATAGGGTTTCGTAAAATGTGTAGATAATGTAATCCATGCGCGCGACGCTAGTTATGAATAAAATAAAATTCAATAAAATTCATTTATTTTTGCAAATAGGCTTTTAGAAAGCACTTTTACACGTCCCAATATTAACCCTACCACTGCTTCGGGACAATAAATGGGCCAGTGCTGAGAAGAAGCAGCGCAAGAAACTCAGTCACTATTGTCAGCCTCCTTTTCAAAGGTTTTTTCAAATATTTTTATTTAAAACTGTATTACATTAGATTCAACATTTTGATTCTAGACAGTCCAGGTATACGATATTCTAGAGCTCGTTCCCACGGCGATGTCAATTAGTATCCTACAACCCTAGTTGTAGTGCACTACGTATCTTCCAGAAGTTGGGAAACATTGTCTCTGCAATAACATATTTTAAAACACCTCTCTAAATTAATTGTTTGCAAAATGAGTTATTGCATGGATAGCACGAAATATAACTTACTAATATTATAAATGCAAAAGTAACTCTGTCTGTCTGTCTGTCTGTCTGTCTGTCTGTCTGTTACGCTTGTCGCTTTCCCGCTTAAACCTCGCAACCGATTTTGATGAAATTTGGCATAGAGATAGTTTGAGTCCCGGGAAAGAACATAGGATAGTTTTTATCCCGGTTTTTGAAACAGGGACGCGCGCGATAAAGTTTTTCTGTGACAGACAAAATTCCACGCGGGCGAAGCCGCGGGCGGAAAGCTAGTATAACTTACAAAAAGCTGTTAAAAAGTATACATAGGTGCCCCAACAATATTGGTGTTATTTGAAAGCCCAATAAATATCCTTAAAGAAAAACACATTTAATTTCTTAATAAACGATTAACATAATATACAATAAATGTGACTTGAAAAAAGACCTCACTTTGGGCTCACCTCTGGGATCAATTAGACCAATTTTTATGGTTATAAAACCAAATAATGATCTCACGTGTCCTTTTTAACAGATGGATATCGATTAATCCCAACTTAACAGTTTTATAGCCATAAAAGTTGGCTCAAGCGTAACTACTACCTATTTCTTGAAGAAGTGACTCTGGATTCTTCTACAGACCCATTTTTGGGGTAAAAATCTTTCCTTTAATGAAATGAAGTTTAGAACTAGGCTTTTAAATGGTGCCAATATTGGTGGGAAGTGGGGATGCATACGTTTGATAAGTGCTTGTCGCGGGAGGTGCGATTTATTTGATACCGAGTGTATTTTAAAACACCTCTCTAAATTGTTTGCAAAATGACTTATTGCATGGATAGCACGAAATATAACTTATAAAAAGCTGTTAAAAAGTATACAACATAGGGAGTACAATAGTACATATGTGTACTATTGTGTACTACATACCTGCACGTTCATAGCAGCGCCGACCACCAGCCCGACGCTCTGCGCCACGAAGGAGATGAGCAGGCACGACGACAGGAACATGGCGAAGCGGAACCACACGGCCGGCTGTGACGTCAGCAGGTACACGATCACCACGTAGATCACGCAGAAAATCGCCTGCGGACACGAGCAAATTGTTTATTAGTAGGACCTTCTTTGACCTTGAGCCTTCTTATGAGGCCCATAGTAAGCGATCACGTCTCAGATCCGTATACCATCACTGGCAACACACATTGGTCAAATACTTTCGACTTAAGACACTGCGGTATTTCGGACGTGAGTATATGGCGAAGCTTCCCGAACGCTGCCCATCCGAGTTGGATTCGACCGTTGACCTCTTTCTCGAAGTCTCCTTCTTTGGTAATCATAACTGGCCGTTAGTTTACTAGAGAGTTTGACCAGTACCGCTAACATGAACAACTTTCGTCTTCGAATCGTTTGCGTATTCGATAAAATTCGATACTCAATCTTCGAATTAAACGATAACGGGATAATTTTGATCATCAAAATAAGTTTCGTGCAACCACATCTCATACTAAGTTCACTTTACGACACGTTCACAAGGGCGCTGTTGTAGTTTTGTTACTAAATCTTTTGATGGGTACGCAAACGATTTGAACTCGAAAGTTTTTCGTGCTAGCCGTACAGGACCATAAAGAATGTCGCACAAAGAGGCGCAGAGGGCGCTACTAGCACAAACAGTAAATAAACGATAAAATCAGTGCATTCACTCTTAAAACCTGTTTGCGTAATGCAACACTAGTTTAGTTATAGTCTGGGTGCACCATCTTGCTTAACTTTGAAAAAAGACGTCAAAAGTCTATCAAACTCCATACAAAAACACCGGTTAGTTATAGTTATTGTTAAAGTTAGGTGGGGCAACTCAGCCTAAAAAGTAATAATTAAAAAAGTGGACGTGGTTTCAAATTTCCGCATTCTACAGTTTGAAAAATAAGAATTTGATGTTAAGGTCCCCTAAATTAGAGGCATGAGGAAGCGCTGCAGTGGCGCCACAATTTCTAGGAGCGCAGTTAAAATATACGGGACTATTCCCACCTCTCGTTCCCGCCACTGCAACTCTTGTGTAGCCAGGATCTACAGCTTGACCGCCATAAAAACCCAACCAATGAAGGTCAAGTTTGTCCCGAGGAAAGTTAAACTGTCATTGGACCCGCAAAGAGCGCAGTTGCAGCGCCATTACCGTTTGCGTTTGTCACGTGCTTGTGCGACTACAGTGCTTCCTCACGCCTCAACTTGAAGGCGTAACATGAATCTAACTTGATTTAGAACATGTCTACCGAAAACCAATACATTTAACATGTGATCCATTATACGAACCTGGAATGGTATATCAGACACCGTGATGGCGAGGTAGTAGGACCGCAGCGAGTACCACCGGTTGAAGTGTTCTTTCACTAGCACAGGCATCTCCAGTGGAACTGGAAATAAACCAAAAATAAATTCAGAAAAGTTTGGCAACATATTTTTGAATTAATTGGCATTGAATTTCGCAATATATTTGGTAGTCACGTTAGCAATGTAAAAGTTTCTAAGGTTCCGCACAATTACAGTTTACTATCTAACAAAGTTTAACCCTTTAGTAGGTAGTGGAAAAATTTTGTCAATATGTACCATAATCATGGCTAACTCTTCACTGCAAGAACAGTCTCTAATTTACCCTAAACAAATGGAGGATTTTGCCACACTTACAACACTGACCAGACGGGTCGGAAGGATAGTCGCTTTATACGACATCCAAACACAAAATTTCCACTATACTTTGAACCTTACTCCCTTGATATAAAGTCGAAAACTATAAGACATTTAAATTATAATAAACTCACAACTAAGTATAGTGATGGTCATGGAGGTATACATGAGGAACAGCATGTTGAAGAAGAGGAAGCCGAGGTTGGACAGCACCTTGGAGCCGTCGTCGCCGATGTCGTAGTACAGCGCGCCGATCAGGAAGCCCACCAGGATGTGAGCGAACAGACGTAGATACATCAGCGTCTGGTGGTATAAATAATATAATATATAATAATATCGTTAATTCTCAGTTGCTAAACTTTATTTTTCTAAGTTCGTTTTCACAGGCTCTAGGTTAATCCAGGAAGACGCGCCCCACCATTCTTCCGCTAATGTTTGAGTGTTATCTGTACACGCTAAATTATCCATGAGTGCACACGCACACTACAATAATGACGCTCGGATTGCTCGCATCAAACTCCCCGCACCCCGCGCTTCCCTCGACCAAAAATTGGTGGGGCGCGTCTTCGTGGATGAAACGATCTATACAAGTTTTCGACTCTGACATAGTTTTTCTTTTCCACTGGGCACGTGTTGAGGGCCCCACAAAAGTGCGCCAGTGGTGCGTAAATCTGATGTTTGATAGCATTGGCATCGCTGCAATGCTGAGCGAAAGACGTTAAACGTTAAGACGGGGAAGCCTTAATCGCTAAATAAATTGTACTTAAAATAAAACAAGAATGTTAGTAATTTATTCGAAAATACAAATAAATTACAAATTATTCTGTTAACGCCTTGTGTTAAAATCNTTAACATTAATACGCTTGTTTCAAGTGGGTTCACGAAAACATTCCAGCACCACAATAATAATTGGCTATTGCCCTTTTTTGCCCTGTTTTTTTTTTGCAAAATAACACCTATTATACTTTCTTAACCTTTAAGTTACGAGGGACCATTTTACCAAATTTCTGTCTTGTCAGGGACCACCTTTTTATTTTTAAAATCCTATGAAAGGGGAGGTCGATTTCTCGCCCCCTGTGCGCCGTTTGCGTTGTGTTGTCTCGACTCAACACGTCACGTCACTTGTTTATTACGATGTCTTCGTGGACCACTTGGAATGCCTCCAGGGACCACCAGTGGTCCGCGGACCACCGGTTAAGAACCACTGTACTAGAGTAAGAGCCACAGTATTCAAGTTATCATATTCCCTACCAAAAAAGTTGTAAAAAGCCACTTTATAATCTCACCCAGTCCCTCCTGCTGAACAGCAGCGTCCTCTTGAGCACGACCCAGAACTGTTTGAACTCGGACGTGGCGTAGCGACGCGGGCTCGCCTCGTCGCCCAGCAGCGCCACCGACGCGTTGTCCTGCTTCTCGGATTCCATCTGCACTACCAGGGGTTCACCTGGAAAGATGATATTCATCATCAGTACAGCAAGCAATAGTGACTACTAATGTAGAGGATTCACCAGTACAGTTATAAATTGACACTGATTGAAATGAGGCTGACAGAGGTGACTGATTTTCTTCCGTCACTTTTCAGCACCAACCCATATGTTATCCCGAAGTGGTAGCTAGGGCAAGCTATATTTAGGACGTGAATAAGTGCCCTGGAAAGGGCCTATGTACTGAATAAACTATATGAATTTGAAAAAATAATAACGTGTGGTTATGAAGCTTAAGCTTAGAATAGGACCACGCCCACTATTTCCGTAGATGTCGTAATGGGCGGTAAGTACCTACTATGGGACAAATTTCTGCATAAACGTAAACACTTTTTATACCGTACACTGTCACATGTATGGTCTCACTCAAGTGGAAGCAACTGGACAGAGTGGGTGATTTTATCGCACACTTGGTGCAATAACGTCACAAGTGCAATAAATGTTTTTTCGTATTTCTGACGTTATTGTACCAAGGGTGCGTTATGTTGATTATATGAAAATAAAATAACCACTGGTGACTTGTGTACTGTATAAGACACAGGTCTCCCTAACACGTCTGGTCAACGTGGAGCGTAGGGTCGTGCTCCTGAGTGGAAACTAAATGACCTAATCATGAGATTAACTAACGTACAGAAGGATCGCTCCATAATCTCTAAAGAACTATATTGGCATCACAGAAATACAACAAGCCATGAATAAAATCTCACCGTTACCCTTAGCGACCTCTCCAACCGCGTACTGCAGAATCCCGTTCTGCAGGTTTCCGTTCCCGTTCCCGTTGGCGTCCCGGAACTTCTCCTGCAATTGGGACAGGTCGTTCTTGTCCCGGGCAGCGTTGAGCGACGCCTCCATGTCCCGTTTGTTGTTGTACTCCGGGATTTTGCTGTCGGGGAATGGGACGCCGTCCCTGGAAGAAGTGAATAGTGATTAGAATATAAGATTTTAAATTTTCGCGTTCCATTTCAATGAGGGTTTTCGCGTATGAAAGATCCGCTAGATGGCGGGACGTGGATGTGGGGTCTGACTGCTGCGTGGTTGGTGGATTTTGACATATCTGTCAATGTCATGTCAAAAATAACCAATCATGCAGCATTTGGACCTTGCGTCTACGTATTGCCATCTGGCGGATTTTTCATACGCGAAAACCCTCATTAAAATAGTAAGACACTCATCAATCAGCAATGTAACTCATTAATAAACGTCGCGTTAAAACCCGTGTCTTACTATTTTAAGTTATTAGAATCCCAACTAATATTATCCCAACTAATATTATAAATGCGAAAGTAACTCTGTCTGTCTGTCTGTTACGCTTTCCCGCTTAAACCTCGCAACCGATTTTGATGAAATTTGGCATAGAGATAGTTTGTGTCCCGGGAAAGAACATAGGATAGTTTTTATCCCGGTTTTTGAAACAGGGACGCGCGCGATAAAGTTTTTCTGTGACAGACAAAATTCCACGCGGGCGAAGCCGCGGGCGGAAAGCTAGTCTCTGATAATGTCTCAAATATGGTAGCGCAACTTTTCTCGTCCATCGTCTTGCTCCATTTTTCTACTGAATATTCATTATTCTGCAGGTTTTTCTCGAATCACTTCTTACTGGATTTTATCCATTTTATTTGAAAATGAGCTTGAAAATCTTATGACTTGAAAGTTGTTACATTCTGCTATTCATCTTAGAATTACTTTTAACACAAGTACGAATTACTGTTTGAAAACGGTTGCTAAACTATGTCAGTTATGTTGTACTCGGGACCATCCTATTATTATGTAGCATTGTTGACACTACTGGAACTTCAGCCAGGATATACAGCTGATGTCGTGCCATAAGTTATGTCGTGTGACGTGTCATTGCAAACTAACCCCTATTACAAGTTACCTTATGTCGTTCTTCCCTTTGTCGATGGCGCGCACCAGCTTGCCAGTGATGTCTGATGTTGTGCCATTGGAAAATAACCCCTATTACAAGTTACCTTATGTCGTTCTTTCCGTTGTCGATGGCGCGCACCAGCTTGCCGGTGTTGTCACCGTATTCCCCGCAGGAGACCTCGATGATGAAGGAGGTCGGGTTGTGGTATGAGGGCACATTGCAAAATAACGCCTATTACAAGTTACCTAATCTCGTTCTTCCCTTTGTCGATGGCGCACACGAGTTTGCCGTTGTTGCCTGATTTTGTGCCATTGGAAAATAACCCCTATTACAAGTTACCTTATGTCGTTTTTCCCGTTGTCGATGGCGCGCACCAGCTTGCCAGTGTTGTCACCGTATTCCCCGCAGGAGACCTCGATGATAAAGGACGCCGGGTTGTGGTATGAGGGGCACTGCAAGCCCAGGGTGCCCAGCCACTCCACTGCAAATAATGGCTCCCATCAGAAGAGTTTTAGAGAAGCTAATGCCAAAGTGTGATTCCGATTTAAGTATTTTCTTTTGCAAACGGAGCGCACAGTATTTCTATTATTTGCAATTAGGCTTTTAAAAAGAACTTTAGCACACTTCTACAGTACAAGTTTAATCTTGCAATCCGCAATGGTGTTACTAATGATACTCAGTCACTATTAATTGCTAGCCAGCCGCCGATATTCCTAACTTAAGGTAAATTTTTCGTGTCGTCCATTATTGCATGACCAAATATTGCAGTTCTTTAGGCGCACACTTTTAGTCGGGCAGTTAATTAGTATGGGTATGTATGGAAGTGCACACATTAAATCGACATGGTATCGGCCGATTCTTCATACAAATTAGAATCGAATTAATAAATAATAAACTAATAAGTATTTGAAATTCTTAGGTTAATTGAGAAAGATTATTAATTGTATTTTGAAAGGATCAAGTCACAAAAAAGTGATTGATTTTTATACCTCAATATTTTTATTCTTAGGAAGTTGGATTCATGAAACGAAATCGTTTCATCTGTCTAAATCACCATCATAAGCTGAATGAACTATAAAAGTCGGTGGTCTGCGTCTAGGCTTAATAATTTGTCTACACATACGTAAATACAGCCAAATCAAATTGGCACCCTCTTTTTTTATGTGCGCGGAGAATCAGCATGCCTTAAGCGGGTCACGGTCGCGCGTGGTGCGCTTGCGACAGCGTTGCGTCGGATTGTTTCATAGCGCGCAATTTAGGTAATATCTACTTGTTCTTGGAATTATTTCGTTAACCAAATTAATCTTAGCTTTTGTCCAAGCCCACATTGTGGAGAAGTAGGAATGTAGTTAAAAAAATCTGTTTTATTGGGCCCATGAGAAGAAATCAAAGCAAAATATGCGAAAAATAGAAAATAATCTCACCATTTGACTAATACATTTGTCAATCTACCGGAATTGTTAGTGCCATTGACTCAGTGGACATATTCTTTAGCAAGATCCGATTGCAGTACACTTTATTAACCGATTCTAAAAAAGGAGGACGTTCTATTTTATTTGTGTCCTTTTCTCACAGCAACAAATATGCAAGGCGATCTAAATGCCATAGAGCATTTGGCTAGTTGGTCGCATAAACTATGTAATAGCTAGGGGAGACCGAGGAGAGTTATGACATTGTCGAATTTTGTAAACCTATTAACTATCAACGAGCTCGAAACAGCGAGTATTTGTTAGCTATAGACTTGAACTAAAACGTGCACTGTTACGAGCTAGTAGTTATTAACAAGTTCCACAAAAAGCCGACAATGTTACAACTCTCATCTGTCACAATTCTCCTCGGTTTCCCCTACAGATTAGTACATAATTCAATAAATACATACCCAATCTCCCCGTGCTGCCCTGGTACACGCACTGCCCATCCGCGAGGGTATACAAATGGTCGAACATTTCAAACAGCCTCGCCGACGGCTGGTGAATAGTACAGATAATAGTGCGGCCTCCTCGAGCCAGCGTCTTCAGCAGGGAAATACACGAGAAGCACGAGGAACTGTCAAGCCCAGACGTGGGCTCGTCGAAGAACATTATGGGCGGGTTGTTGACGAGCTCCAACGCGATGGACAGACGCTTCTTCTGGCCGCCGGAGAGGTTAGACGTCATGGTCTTGTGGTGTTCGGATAGGCCAAGAGTCTCGAGGATCTCTTGGATCTGAAAAAGAGGTTTGGTGGTTTTAACTTAGTGGGCAATAGCATTAACGTAGCTAGGGACTATAACAGACTAGAGTCTACTGGTGATGTGGTAGAATAGGGCAGTGATCATGTAAGTATTGTACGTTATTGGAATTAAGTCGTTGTAGTAGATCATGAAGACTTCTTTTATAAAACCATAGTCAAATATGTAATGTGTAAATTTTTATTTATTTATCGATGAACAACATAGTAAGCTTACAGAAAAACCAAAGCGCTTACATGTAGTCACATTCATTACAACAAAATAAGTGTAATAAGTAACGTGCTTGAAGTAAAAAATCTTTCATCATTTTGTTTTTTTTGGGAAAGATTTGAATTGTAAAGCACCTTTATCCTCATAATAATATGACTTAAACATAGCAATAAATAAAACGATTATGTAATTTTTCGTGAGAGATACTATCATCATGACTATCAATTATATGAACACGAAACGAGAAGAAAAAATTTAAAGCGAGATCAAGCGCAAAGCTCATGACCGAACGCGATAGAGGACTGTTTTGGACGCCCTCTGCCCCACCTAGGGGACATCATTAAGGCGGTTATCACACTGCGCCGCGCTCCGCCGCGGAGCGCGTGATTTCATATAAAAAATCCCGCGCGCAGACGCGTTGTCAGTGTGTTGTGTCGCGCGTATTTTCTATACAAACTGGGGTACATACAATGATTAAATCTATCGTCCCGCATACCGCGGCGGAGCGCGGCGCAGTGTGATAACCGCCTAACAGTCATCCATTAATTTGAAAATTCTTTTACCGACATACTTACCTAACTAGTTTTGCTAAGGAAATATGTCCTTGTTACATACATAGCCTTCAATACATGGAAAGTAGCTGGTTTCTTTTATAAAGTGATGTTTTCGCTATAAATAAGCTTGTACAGGAGGAAAAGTTGATATTAATGATTTACACGTCGACTCAGCAAACTGGTTTGTATCACGAACGTCACACAGGGCTCTTTGAGGCAGTAACTTGAATATATTCGTTTAATTTATTGTAATTTATGATTATGATATTTGCATAGCGGCATACATTAGCGTGAACTTGGTTTTGATTTTACAATATCACCGTTAACTATTAACAAAATAAACGATATAGACCTCTATATTGTGTCTAGATTTGTATCGTAATCGTGTCATATCTTTTCTCGGGACTGGGACTTAAAATACAACTTTCGCTTGCAAGTGCCTATACGAGTATTTAGCACTGTGCTCCAGAGCCACTTATCATGATTATTAGGTCATTTAGTTTCCACTGCAGGAGGTTAGTTACCAGAGGCAATGGCGGATTAGGCCACTCCACGCTGGCCAGACGGTTTGGGGAGGCCACCTTTTTAGCGCCACTTCTGTATCAAGTTCCGTTAAGTATAAGTGACGGAGCACCGAGGTCTATTTAGTGGCTATGCCTTGTTCTTCTGACTTGGTGACCCCCATAACCTACTGTCCCCTCAGGGTAGGTATACAATATAATGCCACGATAGCCGAACGGTGAAAGGGTCGGACTGGTCGACTCGACTTCCAAGGAACGTGGGTTCTAACCCGGCCGCCGCTCGACTATTGCGGTGAGCCCACTCGTGACACAAGTATATTTAGCTTACCACGAGGTGCCCATTAGACTATTAATAATTTGTGCAATCATCATCATCATCATCATCATCATCTCAGCCGTAGGACGTCCACTGCTGAACATAGGCCACCCCCAATGCTTTCCATGTTCATCGATTGCGGCCTGCGTCCAGCGCTTCCCTACTACCTTTACGACGGATTAGTAAGCTGAAGTGGCAATGGGCAGGGCACATAGTACGCAGAACTGACGGCCGATGGGGCAGAAAGGTTCTGGAATGGAGGCCGCGTACCAGAAAACGCAGCGTGGGACGTCCACCTACAAGGTGGACTGACGACATCGTAAAGGTAGCAGGGAATTTGTGCAATACTTGGTAATAATATTTTTTTTAAATGCATGTTTTCCACATAAGAAAAAGTAGTTGACTTACCACTTCCTCCTTATCCACCTTAGCAGTAGCCGACGGCAGCTTGAGAGCCGTGGCGACGGACATGGCTTCTTCCACCGTCAGGTTGCCGTGCAGCTGGTTGTCCTGCATGATGTAGCAGGACAGCTTGCGGAAGCTGGACAGGTTGCGCTCCATGCCGTTGACCGTGATGCTGCCTTCCATGCCTGAGGTCCTGGGGATAAGATGGTGGATTGAAAGACTGTGTACAGATTCTAATTTGAATGAAGAATCAGCCGCTGCAATGTGCACTTTCATACATGTCCAATGTCCATACTGATTAACAGTGCGATCCAACTATCGGTCGACAAAGACTGTGGTCTGCGCCTAAGCTTAGTTTACATATCCTCAGTGTCTGGGGATCTATGATGGGCAAGCATTTACTGGGACAAATGCTTCTAAAGCGAAAACAAGGTATAAGTAGGTCAGATCTTTTGCCTCTCAAAAGATATCCCATAAATGCAGAACAGAGGAGACGAGTTGTAACATAGCGGCAGTCATACAAGGACTTCGCTGTATTAAAGTTGTTTAGAATACGTGGCAATAAGCACTACGTTGGTTGCAATAAAACTGACCATCGATGAAGAAAAAAGTTTTCCATTCATATGTCATCATAAAGCCAAAATCTCCGGCATTAATATTTATAAATAAACTATGGCGTACTTAGGTAACTAAATAACAGACATTTTAGAATTTATAAAACCAAACCTACTTTTTCATGTTATTTGCATAATATGATTGACAATGTCTAAGGTCTTGTTGTACCTAAGATAGTTATGAGCAACTACTTTTCATAAATCTATAGGCTAAAATGTGTATTTGTGTTTGTAAAATGTTGCTAGCACTTCACATTTCTAAAAAATTAAATAAGTACCTAAGGAAATCGAACCCATGACTCTTCACTTGCTAATTGACTGCTCTGACCCTTGAGGTAATAAAAAAATTATGCTAATCTTATCCAATGATGAAATTTCTCTAATCTTTTAAAATCTCCAGCTGTAGGTCGAAAGCAAATCTCACAACTCCCGAAGAATATCTCATAGTCATTGCCAACTCAAGCGGAGCTACTGGAAAAAGTGTTTTCTTACGCGGCATGATTATACAGAGTAACGTTTCAAGGGCGAGGCCGCGGGCAGCCGGTTTGTAAACTCGCAACGATCTTCTACAGCAAGAATAGTGACAGTTAAACTGGCTACAATATAATTAAAATGTGGTTAGTTGGACTCTGTCAATGGAGGTCTTAGAGAGTCTCAACCAATCCCAAGGAGGGTGGCCCTCACTTAGTGCGGTATTTCCCAGTTTGGTTAGGAAATTAAAAGTCATACCTACACGGTTGAAAGAACCTGATTGCCAATAAGAAACATGATACAGACCTTTCTAGATTTGCAAGACGTACTACTAGCGGTTCACAAAGTCAGGCATCAAGAGTGTTAAATTGTTAATCTACTAAATATACAGTCTAGTATACAAAAATAGTACAAAAAAGATAAACAAACATGTCAGACAACACAAAGCTTTAGGGCTCCTTGAAGACTCTCCGATTGTAAAAACACAAATATTTGACCAGTTTATACTCGTATGTTATCGGTTAATTACCCATTATTATTATGTTCAAATCTCGGACGCATTACGATCGAGAGTCAACGCGACAAATCAATGATGATGATTTGTCTATATTCCACAAGTCTGCGTCTAAACCATTTTTCTATCTTCATCATCATCATCTCAGCCATAGTCCACTGCTGAACATAGGCCTCCCCCAATGTTTTTGTTGGTAGCAGTTTTTCTATCTTAGTAAGATGAAATTTTAACATTGATAGCATATAAATAACTATGCTTCTGATGTCCAAAAGATAGCTCTATCGTTTTAAGTAATGCTGGCTCCTACAGCGATGCATGTGTCAGTCACATGAAACCGGATATTGCTTATCAAAAGTGGGTCATTATACCACATAATAACTTATTGAGCAGTGTGGGCAAACAATTTTGGCATTTTATTTGATGTAAAGGCATTGTTTTGTATGATGCACTGGTAGATAGATAGTAGCCATTCGGTAGAAGTCTGACAATTCCTAAGTTTATGTAGAAATACACTCTAGTTCGCCAAGATTTGGCAGAATATTTTAGCGAACTAAAATCCTTGGAAATAACATTTTATTCAAATTACCTTGAATTGGTTTCATACTTCATGCACCTTTATACATATTCATACTTATTTAATACTTGTTTTATAAATTAATGGTTAAAAAAAGTCCTTCAGAAAAAGTCATGGAACTTTATTTGGAATTAAGTTTAGAAGATAAAGAGGACACAAATGCTCAGAAGTTGTCCTCAGCATGCGAAATGTTCGAGATGATGAAATGATAAGTAGTCTGCAATTCATACAAATGGACTGTTGACATTGTTTTGATTTGCCAGCGTCTAAGGCGAGGTCCGCAGTAATTACTGCCGCTCATTATCGCGGGACCTTGCTCTGTGCCCGCGCATAATTACTTCTATTCTAGGGCCGGGCAATTAGCTGGTGTCAACTTTGTACTTGGTACTACTGAGACATCACCCGTATGTAGCACACATATGAAAAGCAATAACATTCTTGAACGCGCCATAATCCATGACATACGGTCGTACTCATTTTCATAGGGTCATTAAAGAGATGTGACTGGAACTTTGCTTTTCTTGATCGGGAAGCCTTGGATTCGATTCTCTGTTGGGGCACATACTCGTATAGAAAAATCGCATCATTTCTTGTTTTCTGATGATGCCTATCTATGTGTGTGTATATTTGTTACATCTGTTTTTGCCTCGTATTACCAATTTGACATGACATGGAAACGATATTTCTCCTTCAATGATGTAGATATTCATTATTCATGAAACTTGTAACCATTGTGGTTTCAATCTTGTCAAATTTTAAGCTATAACCTACATTAAAAGCTTATAGAGGTAGCTGTGACTAGAGATGGGTAGTGGGTAAAAACCCAATTCACCCGATTGGGTTAAAACTGGGTGATTTGGGTAAAAACCCGGTTTTTACCCATTATCACCCATTCTGGTGGGTGAAAACAAAAATAGCGTTTTTTTAAAAGTGAGAAGTGGTATTTGTTGCTAAGGGGGTGTTCTAGTGTTTNCAATAGAAAACCGGGAAGTGGATCAATTTTAAGGTGCAAGAATTGACGACAGACACCAGACATGTGAAAGTAATAAAAAGCTTGTAAAATAGCATTATTTCTTGTTTTCTGATGATACATATTAATGTGTTTATTTGTTACATCTGTTATTGCGCCGTATTACCAATCTGACATGACATGGAAACGGTATTTCTCCTTCAAACATGTTAGATATTCATGAAACTTGTAACCATTGTGGTTTAAATCCTGTCAAATTTTAAGCTATAACCTACATTAAATGCTTATACAGGGTGTTAGGTAAATGGGTATATGAGCCGACACTAGCCCATGTTAACATGGGCATATAAATGGTATGGTGAAGTCAGTTGATATTATCATTTTATTTTTTTTAATTTTCATTCAAAATATTTTTTATAAAATCCGATTTGTATGAAAATTAAAATAATTAAAATTAAGATATCAATTTTCTGACTTCACCATACCATTTATATGACCATGTTAACATGGGCTAGTGTCGGCTCATATACCCATTTACCTAACACCCTGTAGAGGTAGCTGTGACTTGTGGATAGTATAATAGAGCCTACATAAGTATTGAATCAGTATTTGGTTATACCTAAGCGTTTTAGCTAGCGTCGGCTAGGCGACAATCAGTTGCGCAAAGTGTGACGCAGTTCACTTTACTATTTGTCAACCAAGTGCTTGCATTTTAAGTCTGTCTTAGGAAAGCAAAGGTTTGAAGTAGCGTGAACAATAGTAAGATTATAGTGGACTCTCAAATAAACTTGATACTTTGTCTTGGGCTCCTGGGCAGGTATATGATATGGTATAAGGTCACCAAGATGGACCAATCCTGAATTTTGTTTTAGGCCGCAGGCACCTGTATGTACAGCAGATGAATTTGAATTTTATGTAACCTTAAAACTGTAATTACAATGTTTAGGGAAAATGCTGTCAGAGGCAGATTAACTGATTGCTGGCGACTGCATAATTTAATAGAAACTACCATCAGGTCATCTAGGCCAAATGAGTTATTGATTGCTCATTACTTTAATAGTGTTTGCGCAGTACTGGAAATAATAAGCAGTGTGAAGCGACTTGAAAAATAGTTCCCGTTATGATGTCATCAAATAATGACATGCAGAAAGCGATGAAGACTGTTACAGACCTAAGGGCTCTTCCATCGTACACTGACTTGTTATTTGTCATTTTTGTTGTAACGCAGTGCAATTTTCCGTGTGAAATCCTGCAAAGTCACGCTCCCGCCGCGCTCTAAAAGTCTTAACTATCCCTAAGCTTGGATCAAGGGCTTTTTCAATATACGTAAGACAGAAGCTAGTACTAAGATAGAGGGATTGTGTTACCGCAAGCCCTACATGGCAAATGATCGAGTGGAAGGTGTACACTTGCACAATCCCGCGCATGGCGAAACGAAAACATAGCCGAGGTTCTCCGGCGAGGTTTTGCAATTGCAATAGTTGTGCTCACGTGGAAAAGCAGCGATGTATGACATCAGCTCACTGGCTACCGATTAGATATAGCTACAAATCAATAACCTTTTAGGCAACATAACGCGATAATGCAATTTTTGCTCCCGGAATGTAATTTAAACTTATTTTTTGTTTTGGTCAAACACAGACATAACTGGTAAAACAACTTCTTATATTATTCAGGAGAGTATCGGGTTGATTGGTCTACAATGTCCTAACCGCACAGTTAATTGTACCACGAATTAATTACTTTATAACCTTGACAGGTTTTAAAGAATGTTTACTACGTGATAAAAATCTTGTGTCAACGTCTATCAATTGATAATTTGATGATAAAAGTTCGGTTACATTGTTTATGTATGGTATGACTCATTGTATGAAGAGATTTTCTTGTTTACCTACATTTTTCACAGCCTTTCTTATGGCTAAATGACAATACGTCTAAGTGCACTTTCAATGGCCTGAATATGGTAGTGTTAATATTTTGCTACATTTGTTACATCTGGTTGAAGAGTGTATTCTGTCTATGTACTTATGTTCAGATTTCAAAGAATTAGTGACAAAATAACATTATAATTAATACACTTAAAATGTGATTAGCATTATATGAGTGTACTACATAGATAAAATGTGAATACACATCAACAAGGATACACTAATCACTAATTTATGATAACGATTGCCCTTCTATCAAGGTGATTAATTTGCAGATAATTATTGAGAAAGTGTTGCTATGTTGCTGTACCTACGCTACGAATATAAGTTATTATCACAAATTATGACTAATATTCATTGTTCAAATAATGATCATTATCAAAATATTGATATTATAATATGCAAATAGTAATCAAAGGAGCGCACATATTAATATGTGCACAGAATCTTTACAGACAAGGAGTTACTTCAGTCAAATAACCAGTCTTCTAGAGTAGCTTACGAAACGACCAACCGTAAATAATCAAACGTATAGTATGGTACCTTACGGTGCAATGGCGACACTGGCGTGTGGAATCAGATACCAAATCACCATAGTTTTAGATACCCTTAAGGTTCAGCCAAACCAACGCGATCACACGCGATCAGCCGGCGTGCAGCGATGGCGACCAGACCAGACGCTGCACGCCGGCGTCGCCGGCTGATCGCGTTACTTTACTTTTCAAAATTCTTTATTTAAACAAAACACATTATACAGTTACACTATAAAAAATAAAATACCATACAGTATAACTTACATCTTAAATGCGATAACACTTCACCAGGCCAAAAACACCTCTCAAAGCTTAACTGCACTGAGTTTATAAACAAAACTATTAGCTACTAGCGGCCGCCCGCGACTTCGTACGCGTGGACCCCGTTTTACCCTTAGAGGTGAAGTTTCGAGTTTTTTAGGGTTTACCCGGAAATTATTCAAACTTTTCTCGCTGTAAAAACCATCCTTGGACTTCAACAAACATTTAAAAAAAAGAATTGGTAAAATTGGTCCATGTTGAGTTATGCGCTTACCAACACATTTTGCGATTCATTTTTATATTATAGATTAATATTAGGCTGATCGCGTTGGTTTGGCTGAACCTTTACGAATTTTCACAGATCTGAAAAGGATTCATAGGTAGTCTAGGATGCGCACTAGGATCTTATAATCTTATCGAGGCTTATCGATACCAGACAGTAGTCATCTAAAACATCGATTACATTTTATCGTGACACGCATCTTTCCCCAGCTGCTTTACATATAGTAAAAACACTACTAGCCCGACGGATTAGCAAGCTGAAGTGGCAGTGGGCAGGGCACATAGTACGCCGAACTGACGGCCGATGGGGCAGCAAGGTTCTGGAATGGAGGCCGCGTACCGGAAAACGCAGCGTGGGACGTCCACCCACAAGGTGGACCAACGACCTGATAAGGGTAACAGGAACCAGGAAGGCGCTGGATGCAGGCCGCTACCAACCGTGCGATGTGGAAGTCATTGGGGTGGGGGAGCCCTATGTTCAGCAGTGGACGTCCTATGGCTGAAATGATGATGTTGATGATGAAAAACACTACTAACCTGTAACCGGTGAGGATGTTGAGCAAAGTGGACTTGCCGGCGCCGGACGGGCCCATGATGGCGGTCAGCTCGCCGGAGCGCAGCCGTCCTGACACCGACTTCAGGATTGTCTTCACATCTGCAAGTAAGCATTTAGTTAGCTACATAGTACAGCTACAGATGACAGCATATACAATTTTGATGGAAAATAGTAGCTATTACAACAGCAAAAGATTCAAGTCTTTGGTTTGATGTGCTGTCGACTGTTCATCGTAAGCAACTGCAATTTTGAGTTGGTTGTGGAACGCAATTGAGTACCTTCGGTGTTGCGCGGCACTGCGCTCTATGTCATTTACTATGCAACGACACCCGAGTAGACAACCTAGTACTATAGGAATCTACGCCATTCCGATTGCCGGACCACAGCTACAGTGATGTTTTGTTTTCCATAATATGGCAAATCTTTTCCACAAAATGGAAAACCACTTAAGATTTAACACGTGGTATCCTATATCTAGCAAGCATCGATTTCAACCGCAAAGCAGGTACCAAGTACCTACTTAACTACGTAATGCCACAGAACAGACAAGGACAATAATTGCGACGGAAATAATTGCCCTATTATGGCAGAAAATGGTTGTAGAAGTAGTTTACGTATAATTAGATGCCGCAACGTGATTCATGGACATGATTTGCCTAGTGTAAGTTCTGTTTTTATTAAGCAGAAGTACGATAGTCCCTGACATAGCCCGATGGATTAGCAAGCTGAAGTGCCAATGGGCAGGGCACATAGTACGCAGAACTGACGGCCGATGGGGCAGCAAAAGTTCCTGGAGTGGAGGCCGGAAAACGCAGCGTGTGACGTCCACCCACAAGGTGGACCGATGACATCATAAAGGTAGCAGGAAAGCGCTGGACGCAGGCCGCTACCAACCGGGTAACATGGAAAGCATTGCGGGAGGCCTATGTTCAGCAGTGGACGTCCTATGGCTGAGATGATGATGATGATGATGATGATGACGATAATCCTAAGTAACGCCAGTAAGAGGATCATATAACTAGGGCATAAATGGGGAATACAGGGGCACAGAGCTACAGAACTGTTCCTAGATTCCTAGTTCTCCTTAAGCATGGTTCAGATACGCGCAAAATCCCCGCAGTTTCTGTGTGATTGTCATTAGTGATGCACTGAGGCGGTAACCGTGCGGTTAGGGTTTGATGCATAGTATGAGAACTACACAGCAACCGCGCGATTATCTTTGTGTCTGTTTCCAGGCATTCGTTCGTTCGTTTCAGCCGAATGACGTCAACTGCTGGACAAAGGGAGGCCAAGGATTTCCACAAAGATCGGCCCTGCGCTGCCCCCATCCAGGCACCTCCCGCAACCTTCATCAGATCGTCGGTCCACCTTAATGCTCAAAAATAACAGTTGTTTAGCTCAGTGAAAATTTAATCGATTAATTTTCTTGCCTTTATTGTTAAAGCGGGATTCTTGGACCCTTTACTTTATGTTTATGTTCAGTATTCATATAATGCGTAATTCCTTTGTTCAGTTGGAGCACAAACCATTACTCATTGGGGGGCAAACTCCACATCCCGAGTCGACAAGCCACATGCCTACATTAGTTATCAATGTACTTTAACCTAAAGTTGATTTGTTATTGCATGCCTCATATGACCACAAATAAATAACATTCAAAAATAAGTTTTTCACAACCCACCATAGCGAAAATCGTTTTCATTGCATTTTTGTCTCAACATTAAATACCTAAGTGATGGGCATATTTTCAGGATCATAAAATCTTTCCTAGTAATTAAAGATTTATGCTCGTAATCTTCACTAAGACAACCGTTAAACAATAAATTGCTCTCTACAGTTAGCCAAAAACTTGATGTCTTTTGTTGATATTAAAAATGCGATTTAAGAGTAGACGTGCTAAATGGATGTTTTCTAAAATATGTGCTAGTTAAAGTGCTAATGTTGCTAGCAAGTAGGTAGACAACCGTGAACCGTTATTATGCTCTCGCGCAGCGCGAGAAGTGACAAAATGCGTAAGCGCACGACATTTCAAAAGCTGGATCAACAGAAACATAGTGTGTGTACAAACCTTCTGTTTATTGTCTTGCAGTGCTTTTGTGTATTTTGGTACATTATTTAGCTTTTAGGTACCTACATAAATAAAAAATTTAAAAATTCACACGTGTACTTATTTAAGACGAGCTATTTTTGAAGGCTTTTATTTACATAGTAGATTTAGCAACTGCTAAAAATAGACAATAGAAACTGCATGACACTTCAGAATTTTTTGCAAATATTGCTACAAGACTTGACATTAATTCGTACTTCAAGTACTATTAACGATGTCAGCTCGCGAGACCTTTTAATATTAATCAATCGCGATTTCCATCAGTTCGGAACGTAAATGGTATTAATTGCCCCACTTCCTTTTGCGATGGCTGACATTTTCCACATTCAGCACGGAAATGAGGATCAAGAAGTACGTACTTAAGGGATTGGTTAAGGTCTACGAGTTGGGCTGGGTCATGAGGTTATCGCCCTTCTGGACATGACATCTGGCACTTCTTTTGATTATAGTTACTTGAATATCGGTAACATATAGAGACGCCTCGACCTTGCCGACTCGGGGTCAGGCAACGTGGATTTTTCCATGCACTTTGGTTTTTTAATGTGAACGATGCATTAAATTACGAGGCGGAATTAGGGTAGAGATTTAATTTATAAGGAAGGTATGTTTGGAACTACCCACTTGGGTTTTGTTGTAAAGCTCCTCACAATTCACTCACTGTTGTGATATGATCAATAAGGAAACTATTGTAGGCCATAAAATAAGTAAAATGAAGAAGAATAATGACACGATGACAGTTGGACAAAAACTCTATTTGTTTCAAAACCTGATTTTATCGTCGTGTATCTAGATGTGATTAACCTAATTCAAATGTAGGTACGTATTATCGGAGATTAAATATCTATCGAGTTATTATAAAGAACATGGTTTTATTTCAAGGTTTAGTTGGTAATGCCTTAGATAAATACGCCTTAGCTTATGATCTAGTTATTAAACCTTTGTTTGTCACCGTCATCCGCTTTGCAATGGAGGGAAGTCGAACCTTAATTTCGAACTCCTATGTTCTTCTGATTAATTTCGTTGCGGGTCCAATGACAGTTTAACTTCCCCCGGGACACACTTGACTTTCATTAGTTGCGTTTTTATGGCGGTCAAGTTGTAGATCCTGGCTACACAGGAGTTGCAGTGGTGGGATTAATCTTTTAATGTTCTAGTTTCTTGTTTAACGAGACTTGATTTCAACGCAAAATGACATAAAATATCTTCAGCCTACAATAAAATTATGGCCGCTCTTGTGGCGGAGTTTTGGGCTGACACTGTGTAGGTTTGTTGTCGACACTAAAAGAAGAATAAAATTATAATAACATCAAATAGATGATCAAAGAGTAGTTTCTAACAAATATATGTAGGTATGTGTTCCTCAAGAACATAATTATGAAAATTAATAGTGATAAGAAACAAACAAACAAAAACATTATCTATTCCTAGCCAGTGAATATTTTTGGTGACGAAATTTATCGTTTAGTTTAACTTAGTTTAATGTTGAAGCCATAGGATAATGCCGTTTATGGATAAAAATGCTCATTTCAAAAACCACTAATATGTACTTGAATAAAATATAATAATTATTGATTGGTAATTGAATAAAAACACCTTTTTTATATTTTTTTTTATATGTAACCTAACTTAACCTTTAATAACTATTCTTCAACTAATTCATAGCTTTTGCTGACTGTGACAACACATTTGATTAAATTAATAGTTTTAATAATTAATTTTGTTCTTTATTTTTCAGGAAACTGTGAATGTATTATATTCTCTTTACCCGTTATCGTCACAAATATTTCGTCTAATAGACATTTTATCAATTAACTTGAAGGTATCAGTTCCAAGAATGATTAATGGTTAGTTAATGACCCCGCTGGGCCCAGACTCAGTAATTTGATTAGTATATGCAACGGATATAATTAATTAATGGCATACTGGGCTATCAACGTATCATTACTGACATTGTTCCTTCCAAAATGTGTGGTTTCATGGCCTTCGTGACAGCAAAAGACAATAACTTCATGTAGAGACATCATGCTACATACTATGGTATCCTACCATCATCATCATCATCATCATTTCAGCCATAGGACGTCCACTGCTGAGCATAGGCCTCCCCCAATGATTTACATATTGACCGGTTGGTAGCGGCCTGCATCCAGCGCCTTTCTTTACCACCTATCACCATTAGGTCGTCGGTCCACTTTGTGGAGGTAGAATTTTGCCACATAATCACTCGTATAGCCGGATGTTCAGTGGACGAAGTTTAGGCTGATTTTTTCAAAGACCGACGTTATTGTTTATCACGCACGACGTACTTACTCGTCAATGAAAAAAATCTACCCACTCAGAATGGGATGACTCTACTCTAAAATATAAGTGAGTGAGTAAGTAATGATTTTTATCCTGGGAGACGCCTACATCCCTACTTATACTATTAACTATTTTAACAGTTGTGAATATTTAAGGTAGGTAGTAACTAGATACTGAAATAATGAAAAAAAATACTGTAGAGCCTTTTTTTTTTGTCTAGCGAAATTGTTGATCACTTACAATACAAATGAGGACAGTCTTCTAACCCCAACGAAATTTAAATTCNCGTAATTTCATTTTTCCTTCTTTTTCAGGAAACTGTTAATGTCTTAATATACTCTCTTTACCCGTTATCGTCACAAATATTTCGTCTAATAGACATTAAATCAATCAACTTGAAGGTATCAGTTCCAAGAATGATTAATGGCTAGTTAATGACCCCGCTGGGCCCAGACTCAGTAATTTGATTAGTATATGCAGCGGATATAATTAATTAATGGCATACTGGGCTATCAACGTATCATTACTGACATTGTTCCTTCCAAAATGTGTGGTTTCATGGCCTTCGTGACAGCAAAAGACAATAACTTCATGTAGAGACATCATGCTACATACTGTGGTATCCTACCATCATCATCATCATTTCTGCTGTAGGACGTCCATTGTTGAGCATAGGCCTCCTCCCCCAATG